AGGAAGGTTGGGCAATCCTACTTCCGTAGCGATACTGCCTCGGAAACCCAAGGAGGGGTCGTTATGAGTCAGGGCTGACTCCACGGCACATAACAACAACAACAACATATATATATTTGATGTCTTGTTGAGAATATACATAGCAGAACATACACCAATGCAACAATTTTTGTATGTATGGTTCAGTGACATTGATTACATTCTTCAAGTTGTGTGGCCGTTCTCACCCTCCTTTTCTGAATTGTTCCTTCCCTATTAATATAAACTCACTGCCTCCTAAATTTCCTGTCTACTCTTCTGAGTTGCTGTTGTCAGTTTGATTCCATAGACATAATTCTTGAAAAGAGCATAATACTCAAGGCAGATCTTCTTTACTAATTAAACTATTATTTGATTTTAAGAAAACTTGAGATTTTTGATTTAAGGTTTAAAGATTCCTTTTTTTTTTTTTTTTTTTTACATTTCAGTTATTTTTGTGTGGAGGCAAAAGAGGGTAGGGATAGATGTCTCAAGGGAGGGGAGAAAGACTTCTTTTCTTTGTGTCTAACCTAACAACAACCTTTGTCTGCCTCTCTCCTAAATTTGAAAATATGCCCTTTATTCCCATAGAACAGTTCTAGTTTAGTCGGCAACTCCAGTTCTCAGAAGGTGTTCTCCACGAGGAGACTTGAGAAGCTATTATGTTTGGGGCTTTGCTTTGATTTTGTTTGTTTTCTTCTTAAATATTTCTCCAGAGTGCTTTTTACATCTTGTTGCTTTTAACTAAGGGACTGATTTTGAGATTTTTTTACTTAGATTTTAGATAGCCTTTCTCAGAGGAAATGCTCAGCCCTCAGATAATGATGTAATTTGGATTTCCTGGGTCCTTTAGGATTACTTAGGAGCTCTGGTGGCACAGTGTCTAAGACATTTGACTGCTAACCAGAAGGTTGGTGGTTCAAACCCAGCAGCCACTCCGGTGGCACAGTGTCTAAGACATTTGACTGCTAACCAGAAGGTTGGTGGTTCAAACCCGGCAGCCACTCCATAGAAAGAAAACTGGGCAATCTACTTGCACAAAGATATACTGCTTCAGAAACCTGATGAGGGTTGCTATGAGTCAGAACTGACTCAATGGCAGTGTTTTTTTGTTGTTGTTGTTTGCTTTTTTAGGATTATTTAAAACCTGGTTGGAACTTCCATAATCCAGTGGAATTGGGTGTGTGTGTGTGTGTTGGGGGGGTGTTTGGAGTTGTGAATGGAGTAGCTTGAAGGGCTGTATACCAGAATCTAATTATTTAGTTTCATTTGGAAAGGAGTATGCAGTTTTATAAGTTTATATTGGGTTACCAAAATACCACATGTTGTATAAAAAGGGTATGATATTTTTATTTCTGAAGACGGTGGTGGTATGGATTTAAAAAAGTGAAAAACGTTACCAAATCTGACGGGAAGGTGCTGAGACTTTTCTTAATAATCTATTCCTTTTAGTGCTTGGCCCATGGTTTGGGTACGTGTGATGTCTGTCAGTTCAATGGTTAGAGCAGTAGAGAGAAGTCTAATCTTTGGAAGCTCAGTCTTCATCTTTGCAGGGCTTATGGTTGTAGAGGTGCATGTGCACGTAGGAATGATTGTAACACCAACGGATGTTTTCTTCTGATTTCGTTTGGACATCTTACATTTTTCAGTTTGGGATTTGGAAATGATTGAAACCTACCACTTGAACAGCGACTGTTCAAGAGCCAGTTTTCCTTAAACTCCTGTACTGTTTGGTGCTGCATCTCCTTTCAAAAGTGGTAATAGTACAGGTTGCTACAGGCACTTGAATATAACAGATTTATCCTCCAGTTGTTATTATTTCAAATTGAGCCTCTTAGAAAGTGGCAGTTGAATGTCCTTTTCTGCCAGATCTCAAAGGGATACAGCTCCTCACTCAACAGGAGTCTACAATTCTAGTATCAATAAGAAGACTGGCTCATAACTAGTTTTCCATAAACATTAGGATATGAAGACTTTGATATGAATGACATACCTGTTTTAAGGAGCTCAGGGCTGTGATTAGAAAACTCACTTTCTGTGTAGTGGATCTAGGAAGACTCCCTTAGAGCAAGGTCTTGAAATAAGCAGAATCTCTGATAAGGCAGACCAGGTACTCTGGGGAGGCAGGCAGTGATGCCCACATGTTTTATGTGGGGAATTAGACCAGAGTGTATTGGGATGGGCAACGCTTTCTTAATACCAGTTTTTGCTTGCTTTCTGGAAGAGGTAAGAGGCTACCAGCTCATTCTCAATTTCCTGGATTTCTCTTTTAAAATAGTGAAAAAGATCAGCAGGTTAATTGCTTATAGTTTATCATGTACCAAAAACGTGTACTGGATAAACTTCTCTGGCTACTTGTTTGAATCAAAGCTTAAAGAGGCAGCCAGAAAGAGGAATTCAGAACACTGAATAATCTCCAGAAGAGCCCAGATTTACAAATTAGGGAGAAATCATCATTGCACAAACCTGATTGGCCCTAGGCAGTCACATCATTGTTGTGAGGTGCTGTCGAGTGGCTTCCGACTCATAGCGACCCCATGAACAGCAGAACGAAACACCGCCCATGACTCAATTCTAATCTTGACCAGACTAATCTGTGCCTGTATTGTGTTCTCAGGAGTCTCCAAACGTGCTTTTTGGTAACCCGCTCAGAGGTTGCCATTCATTAAGTGCTTCCTGACCCATGTTGCTTTCCTCTCTCAATTGCTTTGAAAAGACTGTGTTAGAAATAAGCTGTTCTGCTGGAGGCTTTGGCAGTACTGGTTTAGTGAGACTAGGGAACAGCAGTTGCAGAAGAGAACAAGATGAGACCTGTCACGGAAAGCCTCCTCTCTGAGTGAGCCTTCCCCAAAGCAGCATTTACCACCCCCATTTCCTTTTGGTCTCCCAGCCTGTTTTTCTTTGAAGAATGCTTTTAAGAGTGATCATGTGGGCTTTGATCTTGCTGTCCTTAAGTAACACAGCAGTCCTCTGTTAATAATCTTTTTTTCTTCTGCATCTTTCTCTTTTTCTTTCGCTCTAGTGCTCTCTCTTCCACTAATCGCCTCCTCGCCCCAAATTTAAATAGTGAAAATTGAAAAGGGGAGAATATTGGCAATTCGAGGGAAGTTTCCTTATTAAAAATAGTGTTAAGTGCATATACATACATGGCTTCAAGAAAAACATTAGTAAGTTATTTAAACAAATTGCAGCCTGGAGAAGGATTTATGTTTTCCCCTACCTGTGAGAACTGTGGGGGATTAGAAAGTGTAATTTGCAGACAGCAGAAAGATAGCTTGAGATAATCACTGTATATGCAATGTATATTCATAGCTTGAGATAATAACTGTATATATTAAATGGAGACATTTTTGGAATATAATACTCTGTCTTTTCCTACAAAACTCAGGTTTTTAGAAAAGAAATTTTCATTTCTTTGTGTATGTGGTGGGGTGTTAGTAAGTGAAAGGAAAAGGCTGTGAAGAGCCCTTAATTGAATGATCTAATCATGTAAAAAGAAGTAACACATAACTGAATAACATCTGGATATAGTCTCCAGTTAATCAGGCAAGGACAGATGCTAAATTTGCTACTAATTAAATAGAAAGCAAAGGAAATTGTCTATATGTTAAATATAGGCACTGTTGTCTCAAAACCAACATCAAACTCACTGGCTCCGAGTTGGATTCGACTCATAGCAACCTCTCCTTGAGTTTCCAAGGCTGTATCACTACAGAAGTGGATTGCCCAACCTTCCTTCCGAGGAGTGGCTGGTGGGTTTGAACTGTTAATTTGGTTAACAGTCAAATGCCTTAGGCACTATGCCACCAGAGTTCCTTTCAAAACAGATGGACTGAAAAAAAATGCTACAAATTACCTTCTCATTTTATTTCCACTTAATTTAAATGATAAGGCTTAATGCTCCTTTGTTTTGATATGTCAATTGCTTATCTTTTTTGACACAAGCATTAAGGGGGGAATACCACTTTCTAAAGACTGAGAGGAATGGGAAAGGCGGCAAAGTACCAATAAGGACTAGGGTGATGATAGTATATTATTACTTTACATTATAATCAAATGTTACTTACATACTGTATTTTTACACAAATAACACACATTATATATTTTTTGCTAACATGTAAAAAATGTGCATAGGGTGCTTACAAAATACATTGGGGAGAAGGAGGTGCAGTTGGCTAAAAAAAACCTGTAATGTGAGGTATTTGCTTAAAAATACGGTGTGTTATTTTCTCCTCACAACAGCGCTTCACAATAAGCCAGGCAGGACAGGTACTGGCTCTTTTATAGATGAAGAAATTGAGACTCAGAGATGCCTTGGTTTACTAAAGCTACAAGGTCCTGGGTAGAAAGAGTAGTCTCTTGACCATGTAGGTCTTTTACTCTAGATACCTGCTAACCCTGCCAATATAATTTCCCTCAGTATTTTTGAAAACCCAAATTTAGTAAAGAAGACGCAGCACTCCAGCATCGTGCTTGGTTTAAAGCTGAACCAGGGATCTGAGTTTCTTGTTTTACTTCATTACGGGGACTGAAGGAGCTCTCTTGCACAGTGGTTAAGGCATTTGGCTGCTGACCCAAAGGTCAATGGTTCGAACCTGCCAGCTGTTCTCAGGAGAAAGATGAGGCATTCTGCTTCCATAAAGATTTACAGCCTTGGAAACCATATGGATCAGTTCTGCTCTGTCCTGTAGATGATTATGAGTCAGAATCAACTTGATGGCCCTGGATTTGGGGTTTTTTCTCCGCCCCCAACCAGAACTGAACCTACCATTTGCTACAAGAGCTAATAAAAATAAGAGGAGGGGGAAAAAAGTTTGTTTTCTTTTTAAATTTAAGTACTCCCCCCCCCCCCAGGAAAATGTCAATTCTTCTACATAATGTAATTCAACCAAGAAATCCTTTATTTTTCGCTCTGGAGTCATATTTTAATTTGTATGGTGATTTATGACTTTAAAAGAAGTTCTTATTTGAAATTCCTAGTGCCTGAAGGAGAAAACAGAGTGACAGACCTGGAGACTGCAGTTCTTTGTCCCTCACACAGGTACGGATGGCATCCTGTCACGCTGCTAAAGGAAAGTGTCCTCTCTACTGGGAGGGGGGCCTTAATTTTTATCCTGAAGCAAATAAGCATTTTGATGCGCCATGTATTCTTAAAATCCTTTTAGGGTTATGTCTTATCTTTTAAAATTAGTTAATGACATAATGCTTCAGGAGACTGCCTGATTTTGCATTAAGGCTAGGCTAATGTTTAAAATCTGAAAACTAATACACAAATTTAGTGTCCACTCATAAGGAAGATGTATAGATAAAATGTGACAACACAAACTGCTTAAACAGAAACAAGAACAGGTAAGCATTTGCTTTTGGAAATCAGGTTTGCTTTGGATCTTTGCTAGATTCCCAGTTTGGGAGATGGGGATAAAAAATTGCTGTGCTTTTTAGATTTAAGTCATGTGTGCCAAGAGTGCTTTTAGAAGTGCAGCATCAAAAGATAAGATATATGTAAGTGTGGATGAATATTTAAAATTACGTGAGAATAGACAGTAATTGCAAATGTATTTGAACCAGTAAGCTAATTTTTTGCAGCCATTGCTTTCTAGTGTTCCCAAGAAGCTCCTTTTTTTGTGAATCTGTTTTTTCTTTGTCCTTCAGTTTTATGATTTGTCAAGATTGTTATTGATTTTAGATTAGCAGGTAATAATAGCATTTCATATAGTCAACATTTAGCATCTACTGTATGAGAAACACTAGGCTGGGTACCAGGGACCCAAGGATGAACAAAGTATAATTCTTGCTGTCTAGAAGCTCCTTGTCTAGTGCCAAGTGGCTGACCCTAACACAGAGGAGAACTTTCACAGGGGTTTTAGATAGCATCTTGATAAAGATCAAATGGGTATTTTGGAAAGATGTCTGTTGGCGTTGGTCGGGACAGAGTGGAGGCAGAGGCCTCAATGAGACTCATCTGACCTCCCTGATCAATTTTTTTTCTTTTTTCCTTTTCCCACTTCCCTTTCATTCACAGATTTCAAAGATTCTCAGGGAATTGTATTGGTCCCTCTGGATTCTCCAGCAACTCTGGTGATGTAATGCTTAAAGCATTTGGCTGCTAACCAAAAGGTCAGCAGTTCAAACACAACCAGCTGCTCTGTGGTAAAAAGATGAGACATTCTGTTTCTGTAAAGATTAACCGCCTTGGAACCCTATGAGGCAGTTCTACTCTGTCCTATAGAGTCACCATGAGTCAGAATCAACTCTAGCAGTGGGTTTTAGTTTGAGTTCCTTGGCAAGAAACCCTCAGGGCTTCTCCATTAGCCTCCTTTGATGACTCTGGAAATAGGACATGAAGCTTCTTTTGTCCACCAGAGGGGGCGAGTCATCACTTTAGAGAGAAAAGCTTTAGTTCTTGTTCAAAGACAGCTTTGGAAGGTATACAGAGTAGAGTAGTAAAAATGTTCCTTCCTCCTCTTCCCATTTTTAAAAATGGATTTTAAGAGGAAATTTTACATATTTTATTTATAATATAGAATTTCCTTTATCTTGTTTGTTTCTTACCAGAGTTTAAACAAAAAAAACCCTAGCCACAGCCGTCCAGTTGATTCTGACTCATAGTAACCCCTGTTGGATTTCAGATCTTTATGGAAGTAGATTGCCCAGTCTTGCTTCCAGGGGTAGCTGGTGGGTTTGAACTACCAACCTTCTGGTTATCAGTCTGATGCCTTAGGCTCTGTGCTACCAGAGCTCGTTCACCAGAGTTTAGACTTTTTTTATATATCATTATTGTTAATATAATACTCTGAAAAATATTGAATTATCTTCTTACTCATAGCTGAAGATTAAAAAGTATATGCAGGTAATTTCTTTACTGTCAGATTTTTAAAAACTATTCTGTATAGAAAACTTTTGTGATACTTAGAATAGTCAGTTAACTAAAATATCCCAGTCCCTGGCTAGATAAAGAGTTAATACCATTATGTGAACAGCTTAGACCTTTAACTTGTCTTTTTTTTTTTTCTTCTATCTGGCCTACTTCAGAGAAAATTTAAGTTAAGGTCAAAGCACACACTTAGTAGGATAAACAAACAAACAAAAAAATCCCAAACCCACCACTATCGAGTCGATTCTGACTCATACTGACCCTGTAGGATAGAGTAGAGCTGCCTCATAGATTTCCAAGGCTGTAAGTCTTCACAGAACCAGGCTGCCTCATCTTTCTCCTGCGGAGCAGCTGGTAGGTTTGAACGGCCAACCTTTGGTTAGCAGCTCAATGCTTTAACCACAGTGTCACCAGAATTCTTTTTAATAGGATAATTAAAAGCAAAGATTATAGACCAGAAACTTTATCAACCTTTCTGTTCTTTGAAATGCCATGGAAGCGAGTATTTTCTTGTATTCACTTTCCTCTTAATCCCACTCCACTTTGATTTTGCTATCTCTAAGTAGAGTGTTCCTATGGTCAAAATGACATAAGCAAAGAAGCAATTATCATCAATTTATACAGGAAAAATAATTTTGAGTGTTTCCAGACCCGAAGAATAACCTACCAAATAAACACATAAAACTTAAAATAATGGTAACACATGGTGTTTGCAAACACAATTCACAGCTACGGTGGCCACACTTGGTGCTTGGAGTGCATGCCAAGCTGCTTCTTTAATGGCTCATTGTAAGACACATGTTGAATGCCACTTTCGCTTTTCACCTTTTTTCATGAAAGCAGAAATCCTCTTTGGATTGTTTTCAGTTAGTGAAAATAAGTACTAAAGGAGGTCTTTTGTAAAAGCAAAATGGCTTAAAACGAACTGTTGAAACCAAAGATACCTGTGTTTTCAGTTAGATGATGTTGTTGTTGTTGTTATTTGCCGTCAGGTTGGATCTGCCTCATAGTGACCCCTCCTTGGGTTTCCGAGGCAGTATCTCTAGGAAGTAGATTGCCCAACCTTCCTTCCGAGGAGTGCCTGGTGGGTTTGAACCGCCAGCCCTCTGGTTAGCAGTCAAGTGCCTCAGGCACTCCACCACCAGAGCTCCTTTTCAGTTAGGTGGCTTTTCCCAAAGAATGTAATGGAAAAGTTTTGGCTATTGAAAAAACCCTCAGGGAATAATGAAGTTAGACAATGCATATTTTTTTCCACTCCAAGCTGTGTTAACATGTGCATGGAGGACAGAGTTAAGACTCCAGTTCAATGATTCATTTTCAGTTTGATATGTTTGAGTTATTTTAGCGGTTTTATTTTTCCCAAATAAAACAAGTTAAGGTTCAAACCTACCAGCCACTCCTCAGAAGGAAGGTTGGGCAATCTACTTCTGTAGTGATGATACTGCCTCGGAAACTCAAGGAGGGGTCGCTATGAATCAGGTCCGACTCGATGGCACATAACAACAAGAAGAGGTTCAGAGTAATTGAGTTATATCTTATCTCATAAGTACCATAAATACAAAGAACTGATCAAAGTTCGTCCAGCTATGGTAAATATGGATTAATTTTGGAAGTGATGCTTTGTAATATGACTTTTTATTAAGAATTGTATAGCATTATAAGGATGAAGGAGCTCTGCTAACGTAGTGCCTAAGGCACTTGACTGCTAACCAGAAGGCTGGCGGTTCAAACCCACCAGCCATTCCTCAGAAGGAAGATGGGACAATCTACTTCCCTAGTGATACTGCCTTGGAAACCCAAGGAGGGGTCGCTCTGAGTTGGGTCCGACTCAGTGGCACATAGCAACAACAACAACATAAGGATGATTTAATATTTCGTCCGTGTTGCTCCTAGATATTTTTAGAAGTCTTCACTGAATTTATTAGTGAGCAACTCTATCATAAACTCATTTATATCTTCAGAAAGAGTCTACATAGATGTGTCCATTTTATTTTGGAGGCAGAGTGGTTGAGTGCTCAGTTGTTAACCAAAAAAAAAGATCAACGGCTCAAACCCACCATCCACCCCACAGGAGTGAAGACCTAGCAATATGCTCCCATAAAGATTTCATCCTAGGAAACCCTATCAGGCAGATAAGTCATAATCAACTTGGAAGTACCAGGTTTGGTTTGATTTGGTTTCTTAGTATGCTTGAAACTGTTTGAAGAGTTGAAAAAGAATTTAAAGGATAACCTTGTGGGGAAGGCTGGGAAGATGTATATGGAGTAATGTGTGGGGATAGCTAGCTGATGAACACATCGACTTGTCTTTTTTTAAAAAAAAAAAAAAAAAAAGCAAAACACTAGTTGTAGAGTGCTTTTCTTTGGATTATGCAGAGGACTCCACTGTATTTTACCATAAATTTAGAATCTGGTATCACTAGAAGGAGCTCTGGAAGTGCAGTAGTAGGTAAGGCATTTGGCTGCTAACCAGAAGGCCAATGGTTCAAACCTACCAGCTGCTCCATGGGAGGAGAATGGAGCAATCTACTTCCATAAAGATTTACAGCCTTGGAAACTCTATAGGAGTTTCTGTGAGTTGAAATAGACTCAATGGCAGTAGGTTTTTAGCTTTAGTAACACTGGACAGCCCCTTTATGTCTTCATCTAAACTTCAGTGTAACAAATTGGGCAGCAGGTGTAGATGATGATAAAATTGATGGAGAGTTTTGTTAACTCTCAGGATGAAAGTAGATGTTGAGCCTTCTAAGTGTCTTAGACCCACAAAGTCTGTAGTCTTCCATTTCAGTCTACTTGAGACACAGAAAGGGAGTTGTTGAAGGGGTCAGGAATGTAAGGGTCTTGTCTGTACTCTCCTCGGCTTTAGGGCTTTACCTGTTGTTAGGTCCCCTGAGTCAGCTCCAACTCATAGTGACCTTATGTGCAACAGAACAAAACACTGTCAAAAAACTGTGCCAGCCTCACAGTCCTTGCTATACCTGAGCCCATCATTGTAGCCACTTTGTCAATCCATCTCATTGAGGGTCTTCCCATTTTACGTTGACCCTTTACCTTAACAACCATGATAGCCTTCTCCAGGAAATGGCCCCTTCTGACAACATGACCAAAGTAGGTGAGATAAAGTCTGGCCATTCTCGCTTCCAAGGAGCATTCCGGCTGTACTTCTTC